TTTGAGACAGGGTCTCACTCTTTCACCTACGCTGGAACGCAGTGGCCTCATCATAGCTCACTGCTGCAACCTCAGACTCCTGGGGCTCAAGTGATACTCCTGCCTCCTGCCTCAGCCTCCCAAGTAGCTGGGACTACAGGCACATGCCACCACGCCTGACTAATGTTTCTACCTTTTGTAGAGACAAGGTCTTGCTCTTGCTCAGGCTGGTCTCAAACTCTTGACCTCAAGCGATCCTTCCACCTAGTCCTCCAAAGCTCCAAAGTGCTAGGATTACAGGCGTGTGCCACCACACTCAGCCTACTTCTGCTTTTTAAAATAAGTGATTAGAGTATTTAGATAATACCGCTGGTACTTTTTCCAGAAAAAGGAAATGAAATATATTTATTTTCAAACTTTATTAAACAAGCAAGGATGCTAGTTTCCTTTATTTCCCAAATGACTTTTAAGTGAAAAGTAATTATCCTTATATGATTTTGTCCTTTGTTCTCTGCTTTAGGTCTTGTGATAATGGTCATTGTATATTGAATGGAACACATGGTACGTCTTCAGAGATGAAGAAATCAAACATTCCTGAATTAGGCATATGTTTAAAAGGTATGTATAGAATATATTCTCCTATGTGATCTACATCTTAATGGTCAGAATTTAAAGGCAAAATTCCATGCCATTGTTGTACTGAAAATACATTAAGGTTTTGTGTTATCCTCTAGGAGATGTTTTTGATTCAGCCTCTGATCCAGTGCCATTACCACCGGCCAGGCCTCCAACTCGGGACAATCCAAAGCATGGTTCTTCACTCAACAGGACGCCCTCTGATTATGATCTTCTCATCCCTCCATTAGGTTAAAACCTTTAAAAAAATTTTAAGCAAACTACCCCTGCTTCTTCTCTCAATATCAGAATTATCAGAATTCAGAGTTCAAAGTAATGCAGACTCACGGCGTTGTGAATTTGCCTGAAATTAGAATGAGTTCTCCAGGTGATGGTGGCTCCCAAGTGCATGTGACCATTACTCCATTTAGATGATTAAAGTAATAGTGTAAATAGCTGGCCATCAGACGGGGATTTATCAAGTTGTCTCCTGCATGCTAAATGCAGTCTTAAAACACATGAGAGCATTATTCATTTCCCTAGGCCCTTGTATTCTGATAGTTTTGAAGTGATGATTTGAAGTGTTAATTGAGATTTTCTTGAACTATAATAATTCTTAATAAATGGGAACTTACTTTTCTTTCGGCATGAAATGACCCAGTTCCACTTAATGCTAATTAAATTATGGAAAATTATATATTGATATGTGGAGAACTGAATATAAGTGCTGTTTTATTCTAACCATTACAACTGTAACACATTCAAAAAAAATCTCAATTCACTTGTTTCAAATTATAATATGCAAAAACATCCTAATATGTGTTTGTGTGTATACACATGTGAAGGTACACATAAGTGTATATGTATGTTGAAATTGCCTGTGTCACTAGTAATTTCATTAATTCTAGTTAGGAAGATTCTCACCCTGTTTTTAGAGGAAGAAAATCAGAATCTTTATACACCTAAGGCTTCACAATAACAAGTAACCCTAACATAAAATAATGTATAATGAAGGTCCATTTATAAGCTATTCTGAATTGGCTGTTAGGCCACTAGAAATATGGAATGAACCTTTCTATTTTCTCACAAATACCATTGACTGATGTTTAGAATTACACAAGTGCAGTGTCTTCTGCTCCTGTTCTCTTTGTAGTTCAGGGCTCTATTCTCCTCTACATTAATTACAAAACCCTCCTAACTTCCTTACCTCCAGTCTTTTCTCCCTTCCACTTATTCCTGTATGTCAGTTCTTGATATATTACCCGGATCTTCATCACCTGGATCAGCATTGTCCAGTAGAACTTTTTGTGGTGATGTAAAGGATCTATATGTTTGTATATGGTTAAGTGTAAGTATGGAACTGGATTTTTGTTAAGATAAATTTAGATAGCTATATGTGGATGTGTGACCACTTTATTGAACAATGCAGATAGATGTTCCAACCTATCTTTTTAACTCGACCTCCCTCTAGATCTTCTTGTGCATCTCATTCTTCGTTCATACTATCCACTCTGCTTGGAAGACCCCATCCTTGTATTTGATGAATAAATTTTTGAGCCCTCTGATATCCCAGGACTTCCTGTTCTTCAGCACTTCTCTGAATGCCAGTTGTCTACATTTCTCTTCCCTCTTCAGTGCATATAACTGTCTTATGGGACCAATGTAACCCTTTCACCTATTTTTCATACCTGTTTTTGAACCTTTTTTAGTTCCTCTCATGGAATCTAAGCTCCTTGAGTCAGGGCCTTATGATCTTCATATCATGCATGTGCCTGACATGGTGCCTGATATTTAAGGGCTGAAAAACGATTTAAATAAATATAAGAATGTAGCAGATAGCTGAAGGTTGGAATGATAGCAATGTTTTGTCTCCTGTATCTTCACATATTTTAAATTAGAAAAATATTTATAATGCTTAGAGAAAATATTCTACACATTTTTTGTAGACAAACTCAGTGAATGGTAAAATCGTTTTTCTTTAATATGCCTGTATGTTTGTCATTCAACTTAAATGCATATGAATTTTTATCATTAGACTATGTGGGCATTTATATGTACTCTGTCTCATTCACAAAGCGTTTGAGATAGCTTACAAAAATACATACAACATAGATTATTTTATTTTTTTAAAGAATTGAGGTAAAGGAAAATATGAGTAGAATAGTAAGGTACGATAGAGTAAAAATGAGTAGACATAAAAGCATGCTGTAATATTCTACAGTTAGTAAATCTGGGAAATACACAAATGTAAGTAAATAGCCTTTGGGACCACAAAAAGTGGTCTATATTTAACTGTTCTTTAGCAGTATTAGATAAGTAGAAAAAATACCATATTCCTCTGCTCTAGAGGAATATGCATTTTCTGCATTTTCTGTATATTTTGTCAATAAATCAAATGTATGGAACATTGGTTTAAATGAATTAAAATCCAGTAGAATAAACTGTATAGAATAATCTAAACTATTTGATGACATCAAATTATATATATATGATGTGATTTCCTCATTAGAGGCTGCAAACTCTTTTAGTTACATGGAAAATTCTGTTTTGATGATGTGACTGACAGTAATTTTTTGTTCAAACCTCTAGTGTCCTAATATTATAAAGGTTACAAGTGAACCATAAGCTGTTTCATAACCTGTAATGCCTCTTTTTATAAAAGGCCTGGGAGATAGAAAACGTTCGCATGGGTGTGTTCGTATGTATGTGTGTGTTTCTCTCCAAATACTCCCACAAAATAATTATATCCCATTATCAAAGTCAGTGAACTGCTGGATAAACCCTACAAGTGAAATTCTTTATAAGCAGCAAGAGAAAATTGATCATTACTTTTGCTTGATACTGTGTGTTTTGATTAATGAAGTTCTGTTGTTGATATCAACCTTTCTTTAAATGCAGGTGAAGATGCTTTTGATGCCCTCCCTCCGTCCCTCCCACCTCCCCCACCTCCAGCAAGGCATAGTCTCATCGAGCATTCAAAACCTCCTGGCTCCAGTAGCCGACCATCCTCAGGACAGGACCTTTTTCTGCTCCCTTCAGGTAGGAGGGAAAAGCCAAAGAAAACTGTTCACTTAAAGCAAAAATATTCCTAAGATCATAGTATCCAGTAAACATTAGTGATTAATTAACCGTCTACCTCCCTAGCAGAATAACCTCTGGGTGGTAAGAGTAGCAGTTGGTGGGTTTGTTTGTCAATTGACTGGTTTAATACTAAAAGGATTACAAAGATGACCAGAGCAACAAGGAATCATAGAATTTAGAAATGACGCTATAGAGATCAGCCAGTCCAGATAACACCCTTCTGTTATGAAAGGCATCCATGAGAACCAGAACAGCTAAGTGACTGGGCTAATAGTAACAGGGACAGATTTTAGAATCCATCTCTCCTGATTCCCAATTGATGTCTTTTTTCTTAATAATAAGTTTTTAAAATTTTACTAGGTATGACTTAGTGTCATAAATTTATTCAAAATATAAGATTTTGGTGTAAGTTATATTGTTATAACATGAACAGACAAGTTTTTCTGAAATATCTACAGTTTATTGTTTTGTTGGTATTTTTATTTTTAATGCCTCTATGTGCCTACTGACAAATTATTGGTCTTTAAGGAAAATCTAATGTAAACTAATTTTTTACATTAATTTCCTTTTAAATTTCTGAAGAGGGGAGTAAAAATAAAAATGAAGAGACTAAATAAACTATCTGCTGCATTAGTTAGAAATCAAGAAAAAGAAAATAAATTCAGTTATGTTGAATCTGCTGATACTAACAGTTCCAATCTGTCCTGTTACTGATACTGTGCACAGAAACATTTGCCTCCGGGACTTGGTTTGGTAAAATATAGGATAAAGATTTTCTTTTTTAACAATTTCCTTACATTTCTATATGAGATAAATCATGAAATCAGTTTGTCGTTTAGCCACCTTATATGCTTCAGTGAAAACTTGGAAATCTTAACCGTTGTCATTTCCCTCAGTTGGTTATTAATTACCTTTAGCATTCATTGTTCTGGTTTTTTTTTCACTTAGTTTGAAGAGATTTGATAAGACACAAGTTATATATATAAGTTATATTTAACTCGGAATATACAGCTTTACTTTCTAAAACTAGTTTATTTTTTAAGAATAATTTTCAGAGTTTTTTTTGCTCAGTAAATATTGATCAAGCCATCCACTGTTTCACCCACTCTATTAGCTGCCTCCGGCCTTCATGGAGCTCATGAATTCACTGAATGCTGACAGTCAAAGGGCAAGTGTCATAACCCCTTGTGATCCAAGCAGAAATATGGATAACTGCTTAAGAATTTATTTGTGTAGCTACATACAAACACTGATGCATTTTGCTACTTATTTACTTATATTTGTTCAAATCATTGTTTTTATACTTTATACTTTTTATACTTTTATACTTTTTATACTTTAATTAACAAGAATTTTTAAAAAATGAATCACTCCAAATCTTAGTTCTTTAAACTTCCCAACACGAAATTGATATAGTTTCTGGCCAGATTCCTACAATGTACCTATCATCACCTTTTAGATGAAACCTTAGTGTAGTGAGTTCTTGTAAAATGAAGTCAAGCTTTCCAAGAGCTGAAAGAGAAAATTTTGCACAAATACACACTTTGCCTATTTTTTCAAAAAAATTAATTGTGAAATGTTTTAGTTCTTTACTTTATCATAAATATATTGTTTATTGCCCTTTATGTAAAATCTTCCTTAAAAAAATCCTCTCAAGATTAATTGGCAAAAGCAATTACTACTTCAAAATGAAAATTCCCCCTTTATTAGCTAAAATGAGAGTAGTATAAACCGTTTTATTTCATTTATAGATTTGCTTGTATTGCTTTTGCTTTGCTGCCAGGGAGCTCAACAACACTTATCCTTAACCTGGAGTATATATTATTACATAATAATAATAATATCGTAGAGCATGAAGGTTTCTTTTACCTTATAAATAAGCATTTGAGTATCATTTTGCAAAGTACATAATACATTTTACTATCTAGAGAAATATAGAAGATGCAGGACAACAGTTTTTCACCCAAGAATAGAACATTATGAAAGAGCATGCTGTAAATGCTAAAGTTTAACTCAGTATATTTAGAACCACAAAAGGTAAACAGAGGTGACTGCTGAATTTAAACGAACTCTGTGAGCATTTTACTGCTATTGTGTTCACTATTCAGTGTGAAATTTTGGTCTAATATAAATCTTTTCTAAGCATTATTGAGATTTGGTTTCCTTGAGGAAATAATAATTATGCCTAATTAAAAGGAAATAACAAGTGTCTTAGAAAAAGAGGTTGTATTCTCTCATGATATTATATTAAATTCCTAATCAGATCCATTTCTTCATTCCAGCATTCAGTGCCCTGCACAGTTGAGTCGGATTCAGCTTTTCAGCTTCATAGCCCATTGACTTCTCTGTAGTAGCGACTGTCAAACGGCAGTGTTCTGTGCTGCTGCAGAGCAGCCTCAGGATTCCTGTAGGACCAAGGGAGGGAAGCCAAGCAAGGGCACAGCTCTGGTTCTTCTTTTTATCTGCTTTCTATTTTAGGCTTTCATGTAAGATTTCCTTTGGCAAAATAGTAATGTCTACAGCTGTGTACGAGCCATCTATTTTGGACAGGCCAATCATATCTTAACAAAACCTGGAGTCTTCAACAAAAGCTTTACATTTTCCTGTCTCCAAACCACGGCTACTGCTAATGTATATGTGATTCTTTTCCAAATTACAAAAAAACACTTGCTTTGTGCTGGTGGGTTGAAATAGGCACCCCTCCCTTCACTTCGTGCCAGGGCCAGTGCTCAAGGAACAAAGCAAAGGCTGTATTTAAGTCCTGCTCATAGCCATAACTGGGCGCCTTGTGCAGTGGACAAAATACACAGCATTTTTGGCATCCCTTACACCACCTTTCTTTTACTGTTTTTCTAACCTGGAATCTCTTTTGAAGTGCTTATCCAATCTTAAAGTCACAATTCAACTCTGAAAGCTAGCAAAATGTAGTTTATTAAAGATGAATGGAAGTTTTACTCTTGGATTGAGAAATGCAACTGCATAAGTAAAATATGAATAAAGTCTGGATCGTTGGCAAGTTACTGAAAAGGTTTTAGGGGATGTTGGTGACTACAGCCCTTATGAAGCACCATCAGGGTGTGGCTACCAAGGGAGTTCATGCCATTTGGGACTCGCACTCACAGAATTCAAAACAGAGAAGGAGTGAAGTCCTCCACAATGCTCAGACCTCATGGAGACCACTGTGTTCAGGTGTTGAAGGATTAATAGGCTAGAGCAGCAGTTCTCAAATTGTGGTCTCCAGATTAGCAGCACTAGCATCTCCTGAGGATTTGCTTTAAAATGAAAATTCAGGATTTACTAAATCAGAAATTCTGGGAGTAGAACCCAGTGATCACGAGCCTTCTTGGTGATTTTGATGCATGCTCAAGTTTGAGAAACACGGGCTCAGGTATTCTCAAAGAAATGCAGCCCACGTGGAAAAGGAAATTCATAGCACCCCAAGTAAATTACAGTGGATTAAAGGAACTAAGGATGTATAGAAAGGAACCTTCAGTATATTTTAGAGTTGTCTTCAATTATAGTATTTGTGAAAGAAGGATTATATTTCTTCCAAGTCTCCTCAGAAAGTAGAAGTAAGACCAGTGAGAAAAGTTAAGAATAAAAATTTCATTCATCCTACGAAGTTTCCTAAATTATTAAGGATTGTTCTACCTCAAGGAATAGGGACTTCTTTAACACTTGGAGGATTTTAATCAGTGGCTAGATCAGTATATATTGAAAATTTCATGAACATAAGTTAAAGAGTGTGGGCAGCAAAAAGGGAAGAACTTCATTTTACCTACATGACTCTTCAAACCCCTTCCAGCAATTAGCTTCCACCCTGACGTATTCTTTTAACATTTAGGGGATAAATGTTTTTTAACTGTTTAATTTTATTTTCCTCTTTTTCTATACTTGAGCAAAAATTTGGAAGTATTTAAGATAATGGGAAAAGAAGAAGAAAAAACATTCCATACCACCTTCTCCAAAAGATAACCTTTGATAAGTGTCCTTACTTTTTTTGTCTATAAGTGTGTAAGTTCATATTTATGTAAAATTTATTTCACATATTTCACATAGTGTATGCTATCTATAACGTTTTTCCACTTACTATGCTATGAGCATTGTTCATGCTGTTAAATATTTTCATCCATTATTTTGATTGGTGTATATTTTCTCACTTCTTTTTTAGTTAGTAAACCCTTTCCTCCCAGTCTATTCTTAGTTTTTTTACAACCTCTAAAATAAGTATTAAATTTTCAATTTTACATTACCATACTGTAAATCACAGGAGGTAGTACTTTACTTTTTAGAACAGATTAATCCCAGTGTGTATATTCATTTATTTTTCAAACATTTATTACTGCATAAATGATACGTTGGCTAATTTCAATCCATATGTTTTAATTCTAAATGTGGATATAAAATTTTACTTTAATTAGTTTTTGAAAAATTTATTTTAGAAAAGCTTTATTGCTTTTCAAAATTTCCTTATCAGGAGACAGTTGGTAATTATTGTGTTCTGCATAGTAATTGTACTGTACATAATGCCTTTCCCTTTGAAGCATGAGTGCCTCCAACTTTATAACTTGCTACAGAGAGTCCGGTTTACCCTATACCTGACCAACAGCAAACTTAGCATGAAGCAAGACAGAACGTGATAGTGATTCAGAATAGAACTATAAATAGGTATTTTTGCTATTTATGCTAATATGTTTGTATATCCGGTGATCCATTGCTTCATTCAACGTAGTACAGTGGTATATTGTGTAGTCTATCATTTTATGGCTCTAAAGTGTATCCAGAATTTACTTTTTAGCTTTATATAAATAGATGACTAGAAATAGCATAAGTGTTTCTGACAAACTTATAAATTACCCCTAAAGAAATAAACACATGTATGTATTATAAAAGACAATCTTTCCTCTCACTGAATGTTACATTGGGAGCATTTAGAGTGCACAGGAACCTAAAGTAAATTTTATCGAATATTTAAATCAAAATCTTTGGGGGAGTTTCAAAATATCTGAAAGTTACCATATTTGGTTCCTTTTGTTTCTCTAACAAACCAAAAGATCAACACTTGTTGCGTGGAAAATGATTTATCTTCTCATTCCTTCCTAAAAATATTTCAACACTATTAATGAGGCTGGACCATTGACTCTTCAGATATTGAGAACTCAAAATCTAAGAGTTACTTTAATCTTGAAATTAATGAAAGCAAGTTAAGTAGACTTGCCTAAGTCAAAAAGTCTCCAGCAAAGCTGGTGATAATTATTGTACTCCAAAAATGGGGAAAATAATAAATAATGGTTTTGAATCCTGCCTTATAATATCTAGTCAAAAATTAGTATAAAATAGGCAATTTTTAGGTATTGTATTTTCTTTTTATATAATCAAATTCTTATGTATTATTAATGTTAAACTCATGGAAGTTCAAACAATGAAAATCAGACCACCTTTAATATTTACAATTTGTATTTTGTGTTAGCAATTTAAGTTTCATGTTAGCAATTCAAGTTTCACTGATTTTGAAATTATGAACAATCCATATCTGTGTAGATTTATTTTTGGTAGTTAAAAGTAAATATTTGTTAAGTGTGGGCTATTTTCCAAACAGTGTGCTAGGTGCTATATTTGAGTTAGGAGATGTAATTCAAACAATGAATAAGACAAGATCCCTGCCCTCAGAAAAATTGATGTTGCCTTCAGAGATACTGACAACATAAAAGAAGGCAGTATGAGAGGAAAACAGACAAGCCTAAGGTGAAAATGATAGCTACATAAATTATTAGTGAACCAAAGATTTTAGAAGTAAGGTTCATCTACTTAAAAAAGGAATCAATTCTTTTTTTTTTTTTTTTTTTTTGAGACAAGAGTCTCACTGTGTTGCCTGGGGTAGAGTGCCGTGGCATCATCCTAGCTCACAGCAACCTCAAACTCCTGGGCTCAAGCAATCCTTCTGCCTCAGCCTCCCGAGTAGCTGGGACTACAGACATGCACCACCATGCCCGGCTAATTTTTTCTATATATTTTTAGTTGTCCGATTAATTTCTTTCTATTTTTAGTAGAGATGGGGTCTCGCTCTTGCTCAGGCTGGTTTCGAACTCCTGAGCTCAAACAATCCGCCCGCCTCGGCCTCCCAGAGTGCTAGGATTACAAGCGTGAGCCACCACACCCGGCCAAGGAATCAATTCTTAAGAATTTAAATCTATATACTACTAATTTTAAATCAATTGGGTTTGTGGTCTTAGCGATTTGATTTAACAATACTGATAAAATCTCTTTTTCTCCCTTTAGTTCCAGTTAGTAAATATTATTAGAAGTAATATGTTTCTGCAATTCATATTTTTCACTACTTCAGATGTCCCCTCGCTGACTATCAAGGTGGTAAAAAGAAATCACATTTCCCTGTATATTTGATCATTAATGTCAGTAATGGCATACTTTTTTAACAATTGAATGTACTATTTAATGAGCCAACAATAATGATTTTTGTCATAGAATGCTTAATATAGTACTGTTAATATAAGTACCTTGTATGTACAGAAGATATGACATACACGAATTCATTTAATCTTCACAAATCCCAAATTTCAGGTCTGTTTTACAGATTTTTATCTGCCTAATGCTTAGAGAGATTAAGTGATTTAATATACTCCGATGAGCAAAATCCAAACCCATTTTTTTTTTTCTTTTACTTTAGAACAGTTTCCATTCATCGTATAGGACAGATTGGGACAGAAAATAAAATTTAGAAGCTATTTTTATCATCAACAATCTTACAGTTAAATAAGTGATCTGAAAAATAAAATAGGATCAGTAGTCATTATTATCTAAAAATAACTGAGAAGAGCATATTTTGCAAATGATGAATAAATTAGAAAATATACAGATTAGAAAATGGTTAATATCAATCCTGAATTGAGTTTTCTAAATTTTGAAAGCTATAATCTTCATAAAAAGTTTCTAGAATTTTTTTTCTTCAGCCAATTGACAGAGATCATCTTTTTAATTCAAAATTTATTTTTATTTTTAAGATCCCTTTTTTGATCCAGCAAGTGGCCAAGTTCCTTTGCCTCCTGCTAGGAGATTACCAGGTGAAAATGTCAAATCTAACAGAACATCACAGGACTATGATCAGCTTCCTTCATCTTCAGGTGAGTTGGCTAATAATAGTAATAATAACACCTTATGTTTATATGGTTCTTTTCACTTTTCAGAGCACCTTCTTATTCATTGTATAATTCAGTGAACACTATCTGCCTAAGAAGTTATTTTTATCATCTTTGCATTTTGCTTATAAAGCTTATATTATGAGAGAAATGCCTACAGTACTGTCTCATGAAAAAGAAAACAATCAGTCTTAATGTAATCTTTGATCTGTTTGTAAAGCCACATTTTTTATTCAAAATTTATTCATTCTCTTTCATTTTGCCTTAGCAAATATGGGAAATGTGGAAACTCTTTTTGTACATTGAAATGCTATTGTCTCTTACTTCTCCGTTGCAGCACAAATCTCTTTAGAGTTAATACTGGCACCAAACTATTCAGTGAGGGCTACTGTGCAGTGCTCCAGTGCCAGCCATCAAGTAGAACGATGTACCATTTTAGTAAGCACAAGTCATACTCATGACCATTAATAAGGAAATGCTACCTCTTTCTTTGTTTCTTCAGGAGGCCTTCCCTGACCACTATATCCGAATAGCTCCCCCATCTTCTGCAATCACTTTACTTCCTCTTTTGCTTTATTTTTCTTCATAGCACCTGTCACTACCTAAAATTTTATTACTCATTCATTTTCTTGATTGTTGCTTATTTGTCTGTTTCCTCTGGTAGAGTATTAACACTTTGAAGATGAGCGTTGTTTGGTCACTGCTGGTCTTCATCAATTCAGGCTGTGATAACAGAATAACATAGACAGGGTGGCCTAAACAACAAATATTTATTTCTCAAAGTTCTTGAGGCTAAGGAGTTCAAGATCAAGGTGTCTGCTGAGGGCCTCCTTCCTAGTTCATAGATGAACCTTTTCATGAGGGCTCCACACCTAATCACCTCTCAAAGGCCTCACCTGCAAATACTATCACAATGGGGATTAGGTTTTAACACAAGAATTGGGGGTGAGGGGTGGGGCAGGAACATTCATTCCATAGCATTGCCATATCCCAAGTATCCCAGGACAGTGCCCAGCACGTTTATTAGATGCACAGATAGGTGATAGATGAATGGATGGATGGATGAGTATGTGAGTGGATAGATGGGTGAAAGACAGGAAAGAAGCATAGCTGATATCTGGGTTAAACTGAATGCACATATTTTATGAGCAATATTTTTGTCTCATTTGTAAACAAAAGCTTTTCTTGTATGGAGTTTTGTCTTATTTCAAGGTTTTTGTTTTTTGATTTTAAGCTCAAACCTCAGTACACTTAAGACTTATTAATAATAATAGTCATGCATTCTGTAACTTCTGAATCAAGATAATGAATGAGCTGTTTTGAGATTTTTCAACATGGTGGTTCTTATGTACTTTATGCCATGCATGAGAGATGCCGAAGTTATATAGTTCTATAGTTTTGTAAGTTTTAACACTTGCATATAACTCAGGAAAGCACAGAAAGTCTTAACCTTTTCAAATTTTGGTCCGTGTTCTCTTACTAGTTTGCTTCTAGTCATTCTAAGGTTTTAGATACATCCTGTAGTTACAGTCAAAGAATTTGATGACAAACATGAAAATCAAGAAAGACAATATCTGACAGCCTCTATATAACATAAGGAACTAAAATAATAAGGATCTAAAATAATATATTCAGTACCACCAACTCTGGATTAAAAGAAACATACTCAAGTAATGGGAAGAACTGTGGCCAAAACATACTGTTTTCATAGCTTCCTTAACAGTTGGCTCCATAATATGTGTGTTGTGGAGCCCAGAGGAACATCATTCACATAAATGATTTCAAGTGGTATGAATTCCAATTAGCATTACACTAGAAATGTCAGGAAAAACTTAGAGTCACAAACCTTGCTGAAATATCCCTAAATAGCCATTTACCAGAAACCTGAACTGGCTTTTACCTAAGTGATAAAATAGTCCTGATTATTACTCTGAGGGCTTCAGCTAGCTGTAACATCAAATATTTCAACCTACTCCCTAAACTCTCTTTAAAAACACAAACCACGGAAAATAAGATACTTGTTTTTCCACAGATGTTTGTTCAGATGCAGCTCACAGGGCTATCCGGCTGTCCGCTAGTTTATTTCATGCCAGCAGGGAGGCTGGGCTTGCCTTCTGGGTTAGGTCTTTCCATCAGAACTTTAAACTGCATGCTTATGTGCCTTCAGGATTCCAATAGCCCTTATTTTCTGTTTTTATTAAGGCCTTTTTAAGATGACTGAATGAGGATTCTGATATGATTGCTGCATGTTATAAATTCAATTTCTTTTATCTTTTATGGCTATCTAAATAATTGATAGTGACTTATTTATGGATGAGCTTTCTGTGAAAAGAGCATTTCTAAAGAATTCAAAAAATGTAGTTTTATTGATTCAAAAATATCTTCCTTGTCCTCTTATCTGAAAAGGATTTCTGC